ACTTGACTCATATAACAAACTGACTCAAAGAAACAAACTAAAACTGACTCAAGAAAAACACAAGAAAATGCAAAAGATGACAAGATCCTCCCCCGAACTTATTATACACCGTCCCTGGTGTACAAATAGGAGCAGAGAAAAATCCTGTCGAAACAAATAAAAGAAAAGAAACCAAGGCGGATAATACAATGGTGGTAGAGAGATGTTACTAGCTGTCAGTGAGTGGTGGTGTCCTCTGGGCTCTCACTACCAGATCCACCAGTGCGACGTCTGCGTCTCGGGTGCCTCTCCGGAGATCTGGCTGCGGTCGCTGTGCTGCTACGACATCCACTGGTAAGCATCTGCAACAACCTCTTCATGAGGCTGTTGTTCTTCTTTGTAGACGCGACCATCCACCTCCGATACTCTGCATCATCAGGATCATCAGAGATAGGAGCCAAATCGAACTCACCAGCATCAGCTGAAACGTAGTCAGGCAGCTCCTCATCTCCCTGCGGTGAATGTGGATAGCGTGAAGAACTGGCGCGAGCAGGTGCTCCGGAACTCGAAGCAGGTGCTCCAGAATTCGGAGCGGGTGCTCCGTCGTGTGCTGCATCAGCTAAAAGTGGCACCTCCATCAGGAAACGCAGGTTAGCTGCAGTGTTTAGTGCAGTCATGGCAGGATTTGGGAGAGGCGTGCGCTGTGCAACTCCGTAAGCACCTTTGTAGCTGTAGGTGTTCTCATCGCATAGAAAACCTGAAGTCCGCAGATGGGCTGTGTCCATCTTCCTCCGGCTCACATCTTTTGTAGCATACCGAAGAGGAATATGAGCAAAAGTGAAGAGCGCTGTGAGGAGACTCCCAATGTAAACGACCTGCGAACTCCCAAAAGGTTTGGTCCTCACTGCGCATATGGTTTGCGCCAGCTGAACTCCAAAGTTGATACTGTGCTCGACCGGGACGCTGACGCTGTAAGAGTCTGCAACCAAATCACCACAACCAAAGTAAAGCAACATCAAAAACATGCGCATAGGTCGAAATCAACACACAGATAGAAGTAAGCACCCTTTTAAAAATTTCGCAGAAATATTAAAAAGGGAATTGCGAGTCATACCTTTGCTGGGTGTCGAAATTGGTTGCAGAAACGGAGAGAAGACGAAAAACCGATGAACTTAGACTCAAAAAAAAAAAAAAAAAAACGTTGAAATCGGTGAAGTTTTGAAAAATCTGGGATTTGAGCTCAAGTATCAAGTATGGCGAAGAAGAAAGGAGGAAGGAGGAGGTGTTTATGGGTCGGGGTTTTTTTTAAAAAAAAAGGGAAACTCAGGTAGGGTAAAATTCTGTGTAAAATAATTTTTTTGTTAAAATTTGCACACTAGCCCCTGCGTTCCCATTAAAACTCCAATTTTCCCCAAAAACTTACCTGGAAGCGCCAAACACCCTGGCAGAGCAGGTGCTCCAAACTAGAGCAGGGTGCTCGTTCGTCGCATTGTCCGTGGTGAGCACCCCTTGGAGCAGGTGCTCCGGTGGGGGCTGTGGTGCTCTTTCGTCAAATTCTACGTGGTGAGCAACCAACCTAGCAGATGGAGCAGGTGCTCCGGTGGGTTGCTCCCTCCTTCTTCTTCTTTTCACCTCCATCGCTGAAAACCTCTCTACCTGCTTTATCTTTCTTTTTTTTTTTTTTTTTTTTTTCAAAAACAAAGAACCTAAAAACAAAGTTAGTAGCTAAGAATTGAAAGACACAAAGTTAGAGACTCTTACCGGTGGGTTGCCTCCCACCAAGCGCTTGTTTTAAGTCATTAGCTTGACTTGGAAAACCATTTAGGCTTGAGGAGGATCGCTTAAGGTGACTGATTCACCTTCTGCGATATTTGGACCAGCAAGGTATGGTTTCAACCTCTGTCCATTGACAACAAACTCGCCTCCTTTAGTGTCCAGCAACACTACAGCTCCATATGGTCGAACCTCCTTGATGGTGAATGGTCCAGACCATCTCAATCTCAGCTTCCCTGGAAACAATTTCAATCTAGAGTTAAAGAGCAATACCTGATCGTTTGGTGCAAAGCTTCTGTTGAGGATCCTCTTGTCATGGAAAGTTTGTGTCCTCTCTTTGTAAATCTTCGAGTTTTCATATGCCAGGTGCCTAATTTCCTCCAGCTCATGCAACTGCATTACTCTCCTCTCCTGAGCACTCTTTGCATCGAAATTCAGCAGCTTCACTGCCCAAGCAGCTTTGTACTCAAGTTCCACTGGAAGATGACATGCTTTTCCATACACCAAGTGGAATGGTGTAGTTCCCAAAGGTGTTTTGTAAGCTGTTCTGTATGCCCAAAGAGCATCATCAAGCTTCACTGTCCAATCCTTCCTTGTGGTGCTCACAGTCTTCTGCAGAATGTTCTTGATTTCCCTGTTGGAAACCTCAACTTGCCCACTCGTCTGAGGATAGTATGGGGTCGCCACCTTATGCCTTACACCATTCTTCTTCAACAAGTTTTCAAAGACTTTGTTGATGAAGTGAGAGCCTCCATCGCTAATCACCACTCGCGGCACACCAAACCTGGGAAAAATGACAGATTTGAACATCTTTAAAACCACCTTGCGTCATTTGTGGGACTAGCCAGAGCTTCCACCCACTTTGACACATAGTCAACTGCCACCAGAATATACTCATTCCCATAAGATGATGGAAAAGGTCCCATGAAGTCTATACCCCACACATCGAAAATCTCTACTTCCAAGATGAAATTCTGAGGCATCTCATTCCTCCTGCTGATGTTTCCTTGTCTCTGACATGTGTCACACCTGGATATGAATCTCTGCGCATCTCGGAACATAGTGGGCCACCAATACCCAGCCTGGAAAATTTTTGACACAGTCTTGAAAGTGGCGAAGTGGCCTGCATAAGAGGATCCATGGCAATGAAACAACACTCCTGGTATCTCCTAATCAGCTACACATCTTCTGAAGATTCCATCAGAGCAATGCCTGTATAAATAAGGCTCATCCCAAAAGTAGTGCCTCACATCCTTCAGAAACTTCTTCTTTTTGTTTCCCACAAAACCTGCAGGTTCCTGCTCTGCAGCAAGGTAATTTGCAATCTCTCCAAACCATGGGAAATCAGAATGCCGATCTATGTCAACTTGGTTGCAAAAAATCGTCAGAGCAGGTGCTCCGGTGGGGAGCAGGTGCTCGTCGAACCCAGAAACATCTATGGCGTAAACTTGTTCATCAGGAAGGCTGTCATTTAGTGGAATGTCATCATCTATCTTCAGCCTCGACAAGTGGTCTGCAACACCATTATCAATCCCTTTTTTGTCTTTAATCTCCAAATCAAACTCCTGCAGCAAAAGGATCCATCGAAGGAGCCTTGGCTTGGCATCCTTCTTCGTCAACAGGTATTTCAGAGCTGGAGCTGCATGGTCTGTGTGAACAACAACTTTCGACCCAACAAGGTAGGACCTGAACTTCTCAAAAGCATAAACCACTGCAAGAAGCTCCTTTTCAGTTGTGGCATATCTGCACTGAGCCTCGTCGAGTGTTTGGCTAGCATAATAGATGACGTGGAGCCTCTTTTCTTTCCTCTGTCCCAGCACTGCTCCCACTGCATAATCACTAGCATCGGTCATGACCTCAAAAGGTAGTTCCCAATCTGGTGGCTGGACAATAGGAGCGCTGACCAAAGCTCCTTTTATCCTGTGAAATGCCTCCAAACATGCATCATCAAACTCGAATTTCACATCCTTGCACAGCAGCTGCGTCAGGGGTCTGACAATCTTCGAGAAATCTTTGATGAAGCGTCTGTAAAAACCTGCATAGCCCAGAAAACTGCAAACCCCTTTGACTGATGTTGGTGGCTGCAGACTCATCATCACCTCGATCTTTGCCCTGTCCACCTCGATCCCTTTCTCTGAGATTTTGTGTCCCAGCACGATCTCATCTCTCACCATGAAATGGCATTTCTCCCAGTTAAGCACCAGATGCTTCTCCTCACACCGCTGCAAGACCCTGCACAGATTAGACAAACAGACAGAAAAGGAGCTTCCATAGACAGAAAAATCGTCCATGAAAACTTCCATTATGTCTTCAATCAGGTCAGTGAAAATCGACATCATGCAGCGTTGGAATGTTGCTGGAGCATTACACAAGCCAAATGGCATTCTGCGATATGCAAAGGTGCCATAAAGACATGTGAATGTCGTCTTCTCCTGGTCATCCGGGTGGATTGGGATCTGAAAGAAACCTGAATAACCATCTAAGAAACAGTAATAAGGATGGTTAGCCAAGCGTTCAAGCATCTGATCGATAAATGGTAAAGGAAAATGATCTTTGCGAGTTACAGCATTCAATTTCCTGTAATCTATGCACATTCGATGCCCAGTAACAGTTCTAGTTGGTATCAATTCATTCCTATCATTTTTTATCACAGTGATGCCACCTTTCTTAGGAACTACATGAACCGGACTAACCCAACTACTATCTGAAATCGCATAGATCACACCAGCTTCTAGAAGTTTCATTATCTCTTTCTTTACAACATCTTGTAGATTCGGATTTAACCTCCTCTGATGTTCTACAGAAGTCATTGATTCATCTTCTAAATGTATTCTATGCATGCAAAGATCAGGAGAAATCCCTGGAATGTCATCTAGTGAATATCCTATAGCTTTCCTATACTTTCTAATTTCACAAAGAAGCAAGGCAATCTCTACATTGTTCAATTCAGAGTTCACTATCACAGGGAATGTCGAATTGGGTCCTAGAAACGCGTACCTGAGCCCCACAGGAAGGGGTTTGAGCTCAAGCTTCGGAGCTCTCAATTCGCTCCAAGGTCCATCAATCAAGCCGTCGGGAGCAGGTGCTCCAGGATTCAGAGCAGGTGCTCCGTCGGCTTTTTCTGCAGGTGAGCTCTCCTTGCCTTCTAAGCTCATGTACGCCACCAGCCTTTGCATCCTCGTGCTTGCATTCAGCATTTTTGCAAACCCATCAGCTTCTTCACTCAAATACCCATGTTCTCCTTCAGCTTAGGTGAGTGCAACTTCCAGAGGATCGATGGCCAAAACCTCTTCAGCAACCTCTTCAGCAATGCCTGAACCATCATCTATGACAAATGTCTGTCCGTCCAGCATTGGTTTCTTGAAGAGTTTATTCATCTCAAATCGCACCACCATATCTCCCAGCTGGAGATCTATCACTCCTCCTTTCACATCTATGATTGCACCAGCTGTGCATAAGAAGGATCGACCCAATATCAAAGGATCCTTGGGTTCTTCATCAAGCTCCAGAACCACAAAATCTGCTGGAATGAGTGTATCACCTATCTGAACATGCAGATCCTCGAGTATACCAACAGGGAATTTGGTTGATCTATCAGCGAATACCAGCGAGATTTTCGTCGGTTTGAATCTGGTGTAACCCAATCGCTTGGCTACAGAGTAAGGCATCAGATTCACACTTGAACCCAGATCGCAGAGAGACCTTGCAAACAGTACATTCCCAATCCTGACTGAGAGAACAAACCTTCCTGGATCACTTCTCTTCTTCAGCACTTTGTTCTGAAGCACAGCACTGCACTCCTTCGAAACCATCATGACACTCTCTTCCTCAACAGCTTTCCCAGACACTAACCCCTTCATGTATCTTTTAAGGGCTGGTATCATCTGAACAGCATCAGCTAGAGGGAGTTTTACAGTCAAATCCTTCAGCATCTCCCTGCACTTTGCATCCTCTAAGTCCTTGCGAGACTTCTTTGGTGGAACTGGGTAAGGTACCTTAGGCGTGTAAACTCTTGCAGGAATGTTTGCTGGAGCAGGGGGCTGGAGCAGGTGCTCCCTCGTTGGCTCAGGGTGCTCCCTCGTCAAATCTACGTCTGGAGCAGGTGCTCCAGATTTTGGAGCAGGTGCTCCGATGGAGGAAGAGTGCTCCTTCGTCTTTTTTACGTCATGAGCTGGTTCCTCTTCTTGGAGCAGGTGCTCCACGTCCTTTTCCTTCCTCTTTTCTGAGACAGAGCTTGTTGGTGCAGCATGTAGAGTCTTCCCACTTCTAAGCTCAATAGCATTCACAAACTCATTCCTGGGGTTTTCACCTTTTCCAGGGAGAGTTCCAGGTGATCTCTTCACAGCTTCTACAGTCTGAGCTACCTGAACATCCAGCTTCTTCACATGAGTCCACACAGCCTCATACTTGCCATTCAAATCATTGTACATGGTGTCCACTTTGGCATTAATCTCCATGGAAGACTTTTGCTGATTAACCAGCAGCTGTTGCATCAAGTTTTTCAGCTCATCCTGCGAGTTATTTGAGGAACTCGAAGAAGGCTGTAGACTTGTGAAAGGCAACTTCTGCTGATTTCCACCTTGAAATCGATTCTGATTGGTGATGAACTGCTTTCCTTGGAAGTTGCTGGAGAAGTTCTTCTGAAATCCTGACTGATTCTGCACTCCTTGCTGCGGATAGACCTGATCCTGAGGGTTCTCAACATTGTTGCTTCTGTAGGATAAATTCGGGTGGCTTATGAAGTTGTTGAAACTGCGATTCTGCACATACCCTTGTCCATTCACGAAATTTACCTCCATCTGATCATTATTCTCTGCATCTACAAACTCTTGAGCAAGAGGTGCATCACCGACCTCATCAGCAAAATGCACAGATCTCTGGTTCTCTCTCAGCAGCAGATTCACCTTCGCTGTAAGCTCATCGATTTTGCTCAACTCCACACTATGAACTGATTTGCTAGACCTGTCATACTCTTGGGATTTGTTGCTGGAGCTTGCAGCTAAGTTCTCAATCAACTCATAAGCAGCTTCTTTGGACTTAGTCATGAAATCGCCATTGCTAGCTGCATTCAAAGCATTCCTGTAATCCCAATTGACACCATCATAAAAGGTTGACAGAATCTGCTCATCAGAGAACCCATGGTGAAGGCACTCTCTTCGGTACTCCTTGTACCTCTCCCAAGCTTCGCAGAAAGCTTCACCAGGTTGCTGTTTAAACGACGAGATCTTGTTCTTCAGAGCTGCAGTTTTTGCCTTAGTGTAGAAATGGTCCAAAAATGCTGATCTGCACTCTTCCCATGTAGTTAATGACCCAGGTGGTAATGACTTCAGCCAGCGCAAAGCTTTGTCCGCAAGTGAGAATGGAAAAAGCTTGCACTTCAAGAAATCGGCTGGTATCCCATTTGATCCAGTCGTGCTGCAAATCTCCTCAAAATTCTCGATGTGGTCCATCGGAATCTCAGCAGGAAGCCCATGAAAGAGGTGCTGCTTCACCAATGAGATCAGCTGAGGTTTGATCTCAAAGTCTTGCCTCTGAATGGTTGGAGGAGCAATCGCAGCCCTGTTGTGATAGTAAGCGTGCGGACTGTCCTTGTCTCCAATAGCAGGCTGTGGCTGCTCCCTGTCTTGCTGCGCCTTTTGCAGCTGCTCCAATTGTTGTCGAAGCTGTTGTAGCTCGACAGCCATGTTGTCATTGTTGCCTTGATTGCCCATGTTGGCTTGAATAGGCCTTTGACGTCTGTTTTCTCGCTCGACTCTTGCTAGCTCGGTGTTCGACAAAGAAACAAGATCGGTGCAGTTGCTCCTTGTGGATATGTTTGACATACACCTGAAACACACGCAAACAAGAGAACAAGAGAGAAAAATTAGTAAAGCCTTAGTCTGAATTTCAAACCAAAAATCAAAGGTAACGAATTGGTCCCCGTCGCAACGGCGCCAAAATTTGATTCACACTAGATGGACTCCTAGTTTCTACTGCAATAGAACAGTGATGTAGTTGTAATATAAAGGATTCGAAATCCAGAGGACCAGTGTTACTCTATGACTTTGCGAGGATTGAATTAAAGCTAAGACGAAAGATGGTTTGTTGCAAAAACTAAAAAGTAAACAGAATGGCAAACAACGATTTAAATTCAAATTAAAACAAGCACTAGACCAAAGCAATTCGCAGGAATTTCAGAGATAAGAACCAGATGACTATTCAGGGCACAAGTGTAACGCAAGTCTCGAACTCAAACAGAAAAGCTTATCGATCCACTGTCGTGATCTCGATAATTTTGTCTAACAACCTAAATCCTAAACTGTCGTTTGAACTTAGAAATTGCAGACAAGCATTAGCTAGCAGGTTTGATCTGTTCACGATTTGCCTTAACTTCAACTGTCGTTGGCTAAGGACAAATCGCTCACCAATGTTTATTCTAGCAACCTATTACAATTTTGATGAATAGATTAACCTAAAATCGCAGATTGAGTGATCAATTCAACCTAAGCATTAAGTCTAACAATGGTGAAGACAATAGATATCAAGCCCTATTTGCATCTAATCCTTTAACTCATGAAATCCTTTGAACGCTTTAATCTAGCTAAGAGATCTACTCAGACATAAAGAAAAGAAACACAGCAACAGATGAAAAGGAATTCATGGATTAAAAATCGCAGAAGAGATAATAGGGTTCAGAATTCTTCTCAAGTGTAGCAGATTTCTTCTCCCAAAAACTTACAAGTAAAAACTCTCTGGTTCAGGAAATTGTAAAAAGAAAGCATCGAAGAAAAGATAGGCGGCTTGGACTCTTTTTATTCCTTTCACGCGGCTTGAGATTAGGTAAAGATGTTTTCCTTATTTTTCTCCCGTCTGGAGCAGGTGCTCCACGAAGGGTCCAAACCGGGAGCAGGTGCTCCGCGGATGATTTCTCCAAAAGCGTGTGAAATAGCTCCTTATTGCTCAAATTCATCTCCTTTTGCTCCAATGCATCTCCTTTTGCTCCAATGCCTCCTAAACACTCCAATCCTCTGATAAGGTCTCTAAATCACCTGAAACTTCCTGAAAAGACTCCAAAAACTCCTAAAACAATTAGTAAACACAGGTTAGAATGAGTCAAAATCTCCACTCATCAAGTCCTTAGCTAGACTTTGCAAAGAAAAGAGCTTAGTTCAAATAAGATCTTGTCTTAAGACAAGTCCTTTTCGAAATCCTCCTGTTCTGTCTTGCAGGTTCTTCATCACTCCAGAGTTCTTCTGGTTCAAATGCTTGGGCTTTATGCTTTCCTCTTTTGCTCTTAAGTGGTGTAGCTTCATAGAAGATGTCCTTGTCGAGATTGGCAAAAGAAACTCTCCTGTTGGGCGAATCCATGATGGTTCCAGCAGTTGCTAAGAAAGGCCATCCAAGGATAACTGGGTAAGAGTCATCTTTGGTCTTCACTATGTATAGATCGACAGGTGCAATGCAATCTCCAATCCTTAGAGGAATGTCTCGGGCTATCCCTCTTGGTATTGCACTTGAATCATCTGCTAAGCTAATCTTTGTCCTGGTACTTGAAATGTGCTTAATGCCAAGTCTCAAAGCAGTAGCTTTGGACATCATGTTAATGCAAGCTCCAGAATCACAAAGAATATTGAGGAATTTTTCACCTCTAATGTCACAAGAGATAAGAAATTGACATTTGTTTTGAACTTTGTGCAGAGTTCGAACTGGTCTTTCCTGTGGATGATTTGGTGCCTCAAATGCAGAATAAGAATCACAATAGAACTTTGCTGAATCAAACTCGATGATTGAATCTATGTATGGCATTTCAATTCTCTTATAGGTGATTCATCCTCCACATCTATGAGATCTGGTTCTTCTTCTGTGATCTTCATGCATGGGATGTAAGACTCATGCTCTTCTGGGTCCGCAGAGTCTTGGTGATGTGAGCTCAGGGCAGGATGGAGGTCATCTGCGGATGGAGACGTCGCACCCGCGGCCAAGTCTCTTCCTGCCGCAGGTGAAGCTCTCGCGGATGCGGTGAAGATGGGTCTGGCCGCGGTCGACACCCTCGCGGCCGCGGTGGGGAATCCCGAAGGTTGCTCATGCTTCTCCTTCTTGCTCTTCCAGAATGTCTTCAGGGCTACACTGGATGTCCATTATAGGATCTCATGCATCAGAATTGGTTGATCCTCCTTCTTTTTGCTGACCATGAACAAAAGAATTATTCTTATGATTCTCAAAGATCTTTCTCACAACAAGGTTTGTGTCTCCTTGGCACTTAGAGAGATGCTTGATGTCAGAACTGGTTTCAATGCTCTTGTGTTCAAGCTTGCTTAGGCGAAGTTCAATCTCTAGAAGTTCACCATCTGTGCTTCCTCTGTACCATGAAGCGATTTCATTGGCCTCCTTGATCTCTAGCTTGGCAGCCTTGGCATCGATGGATCCTTGAAGGACATCATACTTCTGTCTTGGCTGCTCTTCTTCAAAAGCATCTATCTTCCGTTTTAGGGAAGAAATATATTGAGAGTGCAAATCTTCCAGCGATTTCACATGGTGAGTGAGGTCATCGATCCTATTGTACAGAGTATCTTCCGTAACAATTTGGAAATCAAGGTAGTAATTCAGCATAGCTCCTAATCAATTCAGTTGGAGCCTAAATCGATCAGTCTCAGCGTTTTGGTGCAAAATCTGATGAGGAAGAGGATGAGATGGTCGACGATTCACCAGGTGTGGCGAATAGGGCTCATCTCGCTGGTGTGGAGTTCGCGAGTCTCCATGGTGGTGGTTCAGATTAGGGTTCTGAAGATGATGATCAAAATCACGCCTAGATGGTGATTCACATGCGCAGGGAGCTTCACACATGTTGTAAGACCTTTGCTCAGGATTACGGTTTCTTCTTGGATGATCCATGCTTCAAAGATTTCTGAAACTAGGGCACACAGAAGAAAGAATAAGCAGAAAAAGAAAAAGTTAGGGTGTTTATGAATTTTGTGTGCTTCCTATGTTGCTTTGGCAGAAACTCGATATATTTTTAGTCTTCTGCGGCTTCAACCTCCCAGGTTTAGACCTCCAGCAACTAAAAACCTCCCCGGCAACGGTGCCAAAAACTTTGATGGGCTACGGGCCTAGGGTTGTTTTTCATACAAGCCCATTGGTCCATAAAGAAAGTTTTAAATTTATAAAACCCTAAAATCTGAAAGTGCACATATGTACATTCTAGAACTTAGGGTGTCGATCCACAGGGAGGATGTCTAATCTGCAAGGAACAACAAACTGGAAAGTAAGCAAAGTCATAAACCAATAAAAGTTTTTGGATTTTTGGTTAAGAATCCTAAACTAAACATAATCTAATATTCACAAGAAATAAGATGCAATGCATGATGAATTGTTAAAAAAATATCTCAAGCATATCGACTCAAAATATAAACTCTTAAACTCATATTTGGTGACTTAGACTTCTCCGGTTTACTCTAATCGATGTATGATGGCATTTCAAATTAGCTTCTAGGCGATTTATCTTCATCTGTTTATGGGATCTGCATGGAACTAGAATAGACATATGTATGATTAACCAACTCTCGTCATCTTAATCAACTAATCACTCAGATCTGACAATTAACTCTCCCTCTCACGTCAAAAATAAGATCATGCATTAGACATTGAATTCGTCTGCTCACATCTTCTTTATAGGTAGCTCTCGACTCCTATAGCGACTATGTTCTTCTGAAGCTAGGTATGGATGATCTGATACAACACTCTTGTGGTTCTGATTGATCCTAGGCTCAGAGAATAGGTCATGAATCTACTCTCATGAAATATGAACAACTTAGAAGAGATGAGATCTAGAATATGGTTAAGAACTATATAAATCCTAATCGGTATATGTGCTCATCGATAACTCTTAAAACAACTTGACTCTCTGGGACTAATTTACATGATGCAATGAATGATAAAAGACATAGAAGAATGCAAAAGAATGAAACAGAAGAGTTAATAAGATAAAAAGGAGAAAGAACAATGGATCTGAGGAAGAATCCCCATTGATAACACCTGATTTTGACCACTTTTATGGATCACTTTCAGTATCTTATGCATGTGTTTTTACTCAGTTTTAAAGTTTTTATAAGTGTTTTCCATGTTTTGGAGTTTTAAAAGGCTTTTCAGAAAACTTGGGACTTTGGAGTGCATTTTGGATACAAAGTACATTTTTGGATAAATTCAGACCGTCAGAAGTTTGCAACCTATGAAGACCTTCTCACCGTCAGTCATCCCCAAATTTGGAGACATTATAGAGGAGACAACCATCTTTCGAACACACTTGTAATCAAAGCAATCCAAGGGTTAGATCTCCAGATATCATCAATGCACTGAAGGCCGATCAACACAGGTGCTTTCACCCGCGGCCAGCCTTCTCCCCACCGTGGACCTATGTCTGAACCTCAGAAGCCCAACTAAGGTCCAAGATGCTTCCTGCACCCAATTTACAAGCCCTGGACGCTCAAGACTTGGAGAAACACTATAAAGACTCATTTTTAGGTCTTTTGTAAGAGAGCCTCTTTCTCCTCTTTGAGAGAGAACTCATTTGTAGTTTTAGGTTTTAGTTTTATGCATTTGTAGAAGCTCTCCATCGTCACTCTGTCTTCAATAAGAGAAGTTTTTCTGCAACTTTGTTTCTTTAACTTTTCTTCTTCTTAGTTTCTAAACCGATGATGATGTCTACCTCAGTCATGTCTGAGTAGTCACCTAGTTGGGTGAAAGGGTAATCCAAAGGGACCACATGTTCGAATGACATATAGGTTTTTAGGAAAAAGAATTTCGATTTTTAACATGATTCTCCCATTCATCCAAATCTCAAAGCGGT